GTAATAATAGTTGTGCTCTTGTCAACAACTAATAAAAACTGAGGCTTACCAATGCCCTTAAAGAAGTCATGAAATGCACGGGGCACAATAACACTATCTGTCAGTGTCTCCATTATCTGCCCTTTATGTAATACAGGCTCATGTCTTGTTCAAATAGTGATTCAACAGCTCTCGGAAGTAATCAATAAAATTAAGTGTGTGCGTGGTAATGATGCAACAGGCCTGTCAAGCTCTTTATGGTATGTAATAAATCCAACTCTCATAGGTGGGTGGACGAAACAAGAGCATATATTTTTCTTACTTGGCTGTGCGGATATAGTGATTGAGGTCAGTGCAGTGTGCACATTTTTTATATTCTCAGTACCAGCAGGCAGTTTTGCAGTCTTGTCCTCCCACTGCTTTAATCCAATCTTTTATGTTCTTCTCCTGCTGTCTTCCTTCTAGTGCCTTTGTTGTGCTTAATCCACTTATTAGGATACATATAGTGAAGAGAAATAGCTTTGGTTATTGAAATATTAGACACGCACAGATTCTTCTAAAGACACGAAAAATAAACTGACAATCTTAATTAAAGAAAAAAGCAGCAATGACAGATAAGACAAGCAAGCATAAGGGTGGTGTTAGATGATATAGAGCAAATAAAATGATCAGTTACTCATTCATCTGCTTGGCTAGGTAGGTATGGAGAGAAATGTTACTTAAAAATCAAAAAAATAAAATAAAATATTGTAGCAATGGATTTGTTTGAAAGAAGTATCACTGATGTTATTTTCTAGGAAAAATTCACATTACATTCTAAACTTGAAGAAGCCCAATATCTACCCTTAAAACTGTATTCAAGATCGTCTCTTGCAAAGAGACACATATTGTGTCCATGTCCTCTGACTATGCAACACCTACATTCTGTAGGTACACATTCTGTATTTCCAAACTAAACTAACCCCTAGTCATCTTCCCCTTTCCCTGTTTTAATCTGCATGCAAGCTGAACATCACCAGAACACCAGTTCTCTGAGCAATCTCCATCCTGAGCCTGCACAAATCTGAACCTCAAATTTTGCTTTGGATACAGTGACTTCTCCTCAACATCTGCATCTGACTTCAGGATTGTGAAGGCAGCCAGCACAGACATCAAACATCCGTCAGACACAAAGCACCATAGTCTTACACCCATTTGTGGTCTCCTGGGATAAATACTACTGTGTTAAGGCACATTTCTGGGAGCTTCTGGTGCATGAGGCCTCAGGTGAACCCCACCTCTCTGATACCACCGTAGCTGACCACATCTAACCGAGCCCTGAAAGAGGACACCTCCAGAGCTCTGCTCCTCTTTTATGATCCTAAATGATCACTCTCCCCCATGGATAACCTAACATAAAATAGTGAAGACAGGAGAGAATACAAGAGAAGTGAACCAGCTGGTAAACTGCATGAGGAGTGCTTACATGCCACCTAGTTGGCTACCCTGCTCTATAACTTTGAAAGCTAGCACCAGTTATGAAAATAATCCCCCTGACTGAGGGACCTGCAGTATTAACTGGAGAAAATATGGTGTTTTCTTCACATAAAACATAGGTTTAGCAATACTGCTCCTCTTTCAACTGTATGTAGATTATATTTTCTAGAAATAAAAGCATATTAGTAGTATTCAAATGGTTATCCAGAACAGATTAGACAACTTCTCTCAGATACACAGGAGGGATTGCTGAAGTCTGACCCATACTCAAAACTCTGATAGAAACAGAGAGGACTCTGCAGTAGGGGCATTGGGAAGGACCAACTCCCAGTGATGACACATTCCCATCTTTGCTCTTTTCTTATCCCAAAACTCTTCAGAGAAGGTTGTCAGAGCAGTCTGAAATCCTGCCTACAATCTGTGTTAGGTTACATCTGGTTGTTTATCTTGATAAAAATGTAGAGATTAGAAGTACATAAAGCCAGAGTAGAGAAATGGAAAGTGAAGGACTCTCTTCTCTCAGATTGTTTGGCTGCATTCAGTTAGTGTATTGAATGTCAGAACCTGAGGTGAAATTGTTGGATGATTTCAGTTGATTTTGGAGCAAATCTAAGATTAATGTGATATTTTAGAATTTATTATTTTTAAAGATGGTAATTCAGTAGATGTAAACCTTTTACTTCAGCTGGGAACTGATATACTGAGGTTTCAATTATTTCATAGTGATTTGTATTTCATTAATAATCATGAGTGTGTCCTTCATTTTAGTTTTATAAAACTTGGACAATGAGAATTAAATAATGGCACTATTTTTTTTCTGAAAGTGTTTATATTAATTTTATATTAATATTTACAGTAGTCATCTACTGTCAGTAAATGTAAAGAAACTTGTTCCCATACTTGCTCCGTAACTATCAATCAAAATAGAAAAAGCAGGAGTTTTATGCCCCAGAATATCAGAATAAAGATTACATGGGCTTATATTCCTCAAAGGATTTTAATCAACATTCACATTTCATTTTTCTTTTAGAACAAGATCTAATTTCGAGTATAAGGCCCAAATGATTACTTCAGCAACCAAATGCCAGTTATTTGCAATTACCTAAGTGCTTAGTTTGATACAAGTTCTCAAGAGATTTTTCTGCTTTTAGGATAATTATTTCTTAATTTGTTGACTAGCAGCTATGCAAAAGCAGAAGTTTAAGAGTTTTGCCTCTTCCCTCAATGTTACCTTGTTTTCTTCTTATTTAACTACGTATGATTGATAATAAATAGCACATTCTGCTTGTTGGTTATATTGGTTTATGCCCTTATTTTTTAATTAGGAGTGTTTGTGTTTGCTGTTCTTTTATAGTCTTCAAAGTGGCAGTTTGTAATTTGTATTAGACATTGAATTATAGTAATCAGTTTTAAATTGCTTATTACTTCAACTGTTGGCATCAAAAATGGCTATGCATTGTTTCTGAATTCAGATATTTTTTCCTGGGAAGTTGTAGGAAAACCAGTCAGTGATTTCAGACAATAAAGTTTGAAGGAAAGGGAGAGTCATATCATTTATGTTATCACATTCTCCAAGCTGTTTAATTGAGAAATTTTTGTGTTTCCAGGTTCTGGAAGGAATTCACATTTGTGTATCTGATGATGATCCACCCAAGACAAATTATACACATCTAAAAATCTCTGCTTACATATTCTTGGCGGGACCTAGGGGCTGAAAGCATTGTTCTCCTAGGCTTCTGTGTGCATTGAGCAAGCAGTACAAGGAGCACAGCTTGCTGCCAAAACTTTTGCTGTTCCAAGGCTACGATGTCTGAGGTCTTTCCCTGTAGTTTTTATGGATGTTTCATAGACAATAAAGGCATTTGTAGGACCTGTTACACCATGGGAAGAGCATCTCTTGGGAGCTTGTTGAATATCATTCTATTACTCTTATTGTCCAGTAAATATCGTTCATTGTCATTTTATGCTGGAGACAGTAGATGTAACAGAAAATTACGTTTTTCTGGGAATAATAAATTCACTTAGTGGGAAATAAAATCCATGAGACAATAAACTGTATGTGCCTGAGGTTGTAAAGAAACTGCACAATTTAAAAAAAAAATAGTAGAATCTAATCATCATGAAGTAAAGCCCTCAAATATTATCAGGGCGAAGCGGTTTCTTTCTGCCATTCCTTGTTTCTCTTTTCCTTCCCTGCTCCTTGCTCCTTACTCATGTTCTCTGCTCCAGTGTGGCTCCTCCATTGGTTGCGGTCCTTTCAGGGCTGTTACTCACTCTACCATGGAGCACTTCCTACTGCACTGGCCTTGTTGCCTTTTTGGGGGAATTTACTGCCCTTTCTTAAATGTGTTTTCCCACAGGTGCCCCCACCTCAGCTGCGAGGCTCAGCTGTGCACTGCGGTGGGTTGGTTGGAGCCATCTGGAACAGAGGCTGCTCTGCAGCTCCCCCCAGTACTAAAAATTACCCAGTTGTGCCCAATACAGTGTCACAAAATCATGCCTCCCAAATGCTAGCAAACAATTCAAGACATTTGCTAGTGGTAAAGTCACTTCTGCCTAGAAAATGCATGGCCTTTGGTAGCAAAACGGTGTGATGGAGAGCTTTTCCACAACAGTAACCTTGAATTCCAAATGTTCTGTTTGAGGCAATTTTCTTGAGAAAATGATATAAAATACTGTGATAGGAAAACCAGAAGTCCAGTGCTTTGCTTTTTGTTTAAAGGCAAGTGCATGGAGTGTGCCTCAGTGAACTGCTATGGAACGAACACGGTGTTGAAAACAAACCTCTTCTCCCCAAACCAAAAACTGTCTCAAATGACCCCACAATATATTTACTACTTTACAAATAGTAGTATCATGTAAATTGGACATGTTTCTTGTATTATATTTTTTGTCATTGTGTCAGAATATCACTCCGTTTCTGTTTGGGGAGATCAGGAAAAAGGAAATTTCACTTTTGTACAGAAGATGGAATGTATTATAAAAAATTAAGGGAATCTGAGAAGTGGTTAGGAGTAACTCTGCCTTTCTTTGTGAATGAGGGCATATGAACTTCATACCCAGCCATAACTCTGTGTATAGGCAGTGGTGTGATTTTACCTGAGCTCCCACCCTGCCTCTGCCCTCCCAGTTGCTTTTCGACTGTCCTTCAGTATGCGTCCTCCTCACCTGCCTCATGTGTGACCTGACACTGCATCATCCCCAAACAGCCTTATCAAATACTTTAATATACGTTTCAATGTTTAAATGTTCTTGCAAGTTGAACGCTTTCATTGTTCAAGCTGAGTAACATGTAAACAATAAAGTAGCACGGAGTTAAAACTAAATAGTTATGTGGCACTGCTAGTGAGCAAGGTACGGATATACACCTTTTATTCTTAACACTTTTAACTTTACAGTTCCCTATAAAGATTCAAATTTTCATTTAAAGTCCATTGTTGTTTGCTGACTAGTCTGTTCTGTATTTATGTAAAATGTTTATAAACCTGAATATGAATTCACATTTTCTCTTTTTTTTTTTTTTTTTCTCTTACTTCTTCTTTCAGGAACTTGAATTTCAGGATCTGACAGCAGTTTTACACTGTATTCACTCCTTTATAGCAGCAAAAGTGGCATCTGTGGATCCAGTATTCATAGACAGTCAGAGTATTGCAAGAAAATATATGTATAGTAACTGATATCAGATTATATGTCGTGACTATGGAAAATAAATTATTTTCTTAAAGAAAGTAGTTATTCATGCACAATATTGCAACTGTGTGATTTTATAAGAAGTCTATAGTTGTGTTATCTGTAACGTTAAGTTTTCACAATCCGTTAAACATTTTGAATCTCTGCATTAAGAAATATAAGTCAAACTGAATCAGTTTGTCATGTTCTGCATTAATCGAAAACTCTTAAATGAATATTCATTCCATAATATTTGTGATGTCATTTTGTTTTCTGCTGTCATCATCATACGTACTCCCCCTTATTAGATAGAAACATGGAATAACACTTCAAAAGTGTGTGTCCAAAATTTGACCTCTAAGTCTGTTTTGAAAAGTGCTGGGCACACAGATAATTTCTGCAGCCGTCACTGTGGAAAAGAGCTAGTTATTGAAGACAACTGCCACAGGAATTGAAATTTTATCTTGCTTCTATATATTTGAAAAATTATAGTTCCACGGTCCAGTTCTTTTGAGACCTGAGAGTTTCACTCTGGCAAAACACTAAATACTCTGTTTTAGATCGAGGAGAAGACTTAAGCACACACTTGACTCTAAGCATACTAAGTAGCCTCGGTGTATGCACAAGGTAATGTTAAGTCTGTATTTAAATATTGTGGTAGAGTAACTGAAGAGGTTTAGACTCTGCTAAGAAGCCTAACTATAGGCGCTCAGTGTTAGAAAACTTGCCATAGGGTATTCTTATCTATTAATAAAACTTCCATGAATCATTCATTTATTCATTCATAGATTGCCTTGACACTGTCCTTTGATGTGATGCTCTATATGGTTGAGAACAGCTTCTTTAATAACTGTTTTGTTTGAAGGAGGATGTTCCCAGTATAGAGTGAGCATAACAAAACATAAAGACTTTTCTGGGCCATCTACCTTTTTTTTTTTCCTACAGCTTTAACCCTGACTTCTACACAAACAAGGCTGGATTATTTCCTTGCTAAGGAAATAATATGATTCTACTCTTGATGTATCCCTAACCTTTCTTCTGAAATCATCTTCTTATATGCACAGATAATACTTCCTGCTATTGAAAAATTATATAAAAGGATCTTAGGGCGTATTCCCTGTATGTAATACCAAATATTGCAGGTTTCTGTGATAAAAGTCAATTGCATTTTTGAGGCAGCATCAGGCAATTCTTTTTTTCCAAGAAAATAAAACAATCAAAAATCAAGCAAGAAGAGTATCTTAGATACAATGGATATGGACTGAATTCATCAAAGCCCCCCCTAAATTTTAGGAGTCATTCATCAAAGCCCCCCCTAAATTTTAGGAGTCTAGTAAAGTGTCCTGCTAAAGTAAAAGCCTAAAGTTACTGTATCCTAAGGAAAAGGGGTAGGTGCCTTTAAAAGCTCTCAGGTGAGGAGTGTTTTTACATAATTTCAGTGCTTAAATTTAATCAGACAGGTTCCCTCTCTTAGGTCTTAATGAAGTTAGCTGTCTTGGCAGACTGTAGTGGGGCCTCAGGTGCTTATTGGGAATGGATACTGATCTGTCCACCTAAAGCTTAGGCACAAATAAGGTGCCTAATGTAAGTGATTTGATCCTACCATGAGGATTACTTGTTGCCAAGTGTTATCCATAGAGAAATTAGTTTCTACAGTAGGGACTCTGTTTGCAATTGAAGTATTGTTTATGGTTCTGATGTTGTTTGCGAGGAAGCATAGTAGGAGTTCTAACTCCTGTTAAAACAATATTTAGCAAAGGTGAGAAATATTTTTATTAGTTGTAGATAAATATTTATTGCCATTATGGTATTTTTTTAACAAATCATGTCAATTTTATATCACATCTTTTTTCAAAAAAATCAATCAAAAATTGTCTTTCTCAAACATGCTTTTATTCAAAATATTTCATTTAATTTTCAGCTTTCTATTTTATTTTTAGGTCTTCCTATTTACAGAGATTTTAACTTTCACAAATTATAGTATTAAAATTAGAATAGCTTTCTTACAATCCATTACAATCCAGTTATTAGTGTGAACAAATGTTAATGTCAGAGCATCTGTAGGATGAAGAATGATGGAATTCCTTCAGTTTTGTTTTTCTTCTATTTTCTCATATACAGAGTTCAACATTAATGTGGAACAGTAGAAAACTGCACCAGCTAGTACTGAACTGATACTACAGTCAGGCTTCTAGACTTAATGTTTTAAGTTATCATGTGATTAAAAGCACAGCTTGTCTCCCCAAATGCTGTAAATAAAAACTTAAAAATTGTAATTTATTAGTCTTTTTTCTATCAAAAAGTTATGCAATTCTAAATTAATATTATTAACATATTAAATTTTTTTTGCAAGAGCAGCTGGATATTGCATATTTTCATTAGCCACTTTCAGAATTTTTATATGAAGTTGCTTACACTGATTTGAAGTAATTTTCTTATTTGTTTCATGGAATTTCTAAATTATTTAGTCTTCTGGGGAGCTATGTTCTCTATCATTTTTGCAAGACAGTAGCTTTCTTCTGATATATCCAACTCAATCTCAAGGAATATTAGAGAAAAATTTCTTAGAAATTCACCCTCTTGATTTTAGAGTTTTATTTTAGAAGTAATTCTCCAAACATATTTTTAATGAGAAACCTGCAGATGCTTGTTAGCTCACTTGCTTTTTCCTTCCTTTCACATTCTACAGTAATCTCAAGGCAAGGACTAAAGGTCAGGTTTCTGAGGAAATTGCCAGAGCCTAGGATGGCTAATGGACTGCTAGTTACTCAGCTGTCTTACAGAACTTTCATAGCACTTTGCATTTCTTTGTAATTCTCTTAACAGGGTAACATTTACCTCATATATGAAAATGTTATGTTTCCAATTTGTTTGGTCGCTTGTGTTCATTTGCTGAGTTTTTTTTTATTTTCAGGAAGGCATATTATTTTATCATTACCTTCAAAGTGTGTGTCATATAACATGCATATGTATTTCCCAGTTAAAGGTCTTGAGTATTTGCACCACCTTTCAGTCACTGAAGACCTCAAAATAGAGGGATTCACAAATGGTAAATTGATCTGCTGGTGGGTAGGTACTTTCTCCAGCCAGCCCTCAGGAATTGCACGCTGAGGCAGAGGACAGACAGGTGGTTTATGGTGACTGGAGAGCTGGAATGTCAAATACTTAATTGCTAATCAAAACAGAAAAGAATATGCTTTGTTATGTATTTGTGATATATTAAGCTTTAGTTTTAGTACTTCATTATTCATTTTTATATAGTTTTCCTTTATTTTTTTTAGGGGTAAAGTGATACCAGAATTGAATAAAGGGTAGGAGGAGAGAGGCGTTTGCTAAAACAAAGCCATAAACAGCAGGCTGGGGAAAGCAGCATACAAACATACTTACAAAATCGTGTAGAATCAACAAAATCAAAATAGCCACTTATGACTAGAAACAGACTAAAAACTGGATAATTTCTGTATGTCCAGATTACCTTTATATCTTAAATTTAAACTCAAAACTTGGTTAAAAGGCTAAAAATAATCCCATTTACAAACATGATTTTGATCAAATGGGCAGTACTGTTGATTTCAATTAGAGCAAGGCTCATCAGTGACATAAATTAAGGAGTGGTACGGCATGGGCTTGGGTACTGGATTGGAATCATAGTGTTGATTTCTTAAAATAATTTCTGATATTTTTTGCTCTACAATGTTTAAAGTCTGCGGAAAAATATCCTGTGCATAGTCAAGCTAGAGTCAGCTTAGGTCTATTCCCAGTGAGTGGCTTCGTTGTGCTACCCTGTTTAAAATACCAGAGTGTTTAATAGAGGGGATGTGGCCAGACCCTGCCAGATGGCCTCAGGGATAGAAAACAGTCCCTCACAATTTTAGTTATAAATTTAGATGTTGCCAGAGTCTCACTGACTTCAGTGGGGGCAGGGCCTCACCCACTGTATCTGACCTGCATTATTTAATTTTATTTTTGCATGTAATCATAAAGCATAGTTTTATAATATTGAGGCTCTGCTGATCCAAAGCTCAAGTTCTGGAAATCTGACTTAATTCTTTTCACATTAGGATCTTAGAAAAAGTATTTCAGAGTGATTTCCACCCTTGAGCCAGGCGGCCTGAAGCTTAAATGAGGATTTTTTGGGGGGAGGAGCGCTAAGCTCTGACAAACTTTGCAACCATAAATCTAAAATCCTGTCTTATATCTGAGCTGCATTAATTCACAAGTAACTTCAGATAAGGCATGCCTTTTCCACAAAACCTTTAATGTGTAGTCACATCTTTGTAGTGGCATAAGCAGTATTTAAAAATGCCTGAATTTCTTTCTAAGTAGATTTCCATAAATGCTTCTACTAAAATATTGTCAGTATTTTATTACACCTCCCCATCCACCTGAATATCTCCTCTATTGCAGTGTTCAAAGTGTGGAGGGTGTAATGGCAATGCAATTTTTCTGCTTTTTGTTGACTGCTGTGGTCGATTTTTGGTTTAGTATAGCTTGCCTATGTCCTCCAGTAAGGGAGGCCGCTTCTAAGGGCAGAGAGGGTGAATCTTAGAAGGGAAACCCTTTACTCCATGCTCTTATGAGAGGCGAAGAGAAGCCAGTGGTGATTTCTGTCCCTCATTCCAATGAATGGGAATTGGGCCAAAGCACTGCAAAAATGGAAGCAGGGGAGGGATGGACAGACTGTGCAATCTTAAAAGCTTCCTTTACTTAGGCATGTAAGGTAAAAGTACCTATCACTCTTGGAATTTCATAAATTCTTCTTTCAGTGTAGTTCTCTTACTTTAAGTTGCTGTTCATTGAGTTGTGGCTGCTGAATAGGAAAATATTTCAAAGAAAACAATGTAAAATATGTCATGTAATCGTGTATTTTGTTTCTTAACCTATGCTTCAAGAATCTTTAGGTACTTTTGTGTTGAGTCATGTAGAGAAGAGATTATCTTATGTGAAGCAAAAGACCTTGTAGTAGATTTATTAGAAAGTACAAAGGGGATTTGTGTAGCATACAAGA